TTTTTGTACAATAATTTTTGAAAATTTAATTTTTTGGAATCTTTTTCATTTAAAATAATGGATAACAATACTTTTGAACTGTAGAAATTTATATAAATTGTCGAATATATTTACAATTTATGCTGAAAAATTCAAATCGTAATCCCGATTAACAAAATAGGGTAAAAAAATTAATGTCGGATTTATCGAAATCGGAGAAATTGAGCTCGAAAGGCACGTCCAATTTTTTTAACACTGTATACCATTGTGGATATTCTTTTAATGGGAATTGGGTAACAATCAAAAAGAATTGCTTAATTTAGTCTTTTAACATTATTTAGGGAAGAGGTGGTATTCTATGCCCAAGGCCAATCCAACTTATCACATTTCTGTGTCACTAGAAACTGTACAAAAAAAGTTCATAAGCAACCAAAGTAAAATAATACATTTTATGAATTAGCCTACAGGCATTATTTAAAAACAATTACCAATCACAACATTTTGATATATTTTGTCTGAATTCAAAATAAATTATGTAAACAAAAAAAGAGGTATAAGTAGCAACAGATAGAGATGCAGCCATGGTAAATTTCCACAGAATAGTAGTGGTATGTCAATAGATCCTCTTCGTTTCTGAGAGCAATCACAAGCAGCCAACGTCAGTCATTTCTACTATTTTATAGTAAATAGTTAACTGCGTAAGATTAGGTTAAAGTTCCCCGAATCAGTTTTTATTTCTGAATGGAATCAGAGAATAAAATTATAACGGCTGATATGTATGGGGATACTCAATGAAAGTTTTTACATCTTTTTCACAGTTTGATGGCAGTGATGAAATTAGTGAACAAAAATCTTTGTTATACTTCTGTGTTGTCGCCGGCACGGATGTTCTGGTATTGAGATGACACCACTCTACTCTGTCCGTTGCTCGCCACCACGGACACGACCCCGGATGATGAGGCGGAACCACCGAATTCTTTTCTTCTTTTTATCAAATATACGTTGACGGCAATAGCTATGACTAGAATGGAACCTAATGCGCCCACGATGATGGGAATCAGAGACATGCCGTCTTCGGAATGAGAGTTTTGGCCGACTTCGTACACTCCCTTGTTGTCTCTGTTGACTTTTTTATTTTTGCCATTGTAATTTAATTTTATCCTGTGCATGTTTGTACCTTTTCCGTCTGAACCGACGTGCTCCACGTCTTCCACTTCTCTCTTTTTCCGAAGTGAAACTTCTCCCAAATTTCCAAAAATGTGTTCGTCGACACTTCTCTTTCCAATTCCTCGAGCTGCATTTTCTTTAGATCTCACCGTATAGATACAATGTACAAACCATTGCCTACCATAAGATACCTGAAAATTATATAACACCTTAGAAAATTTGTTAACTCAAAAACTTATGAATATACTTTATTTAGATTGCCCTTTACCTGAAATAGTGGGGCAGAATCAAAGTGAAAACCGTCAGCACTGGGTTGTTTTCTAAGAGCTTCAACATCTGGAGAAGGATCATCACCCGACAATTTAGCATCAAAGGGAACATTTTTGAACTTTCTGACAACAGTATGTGGGGCACCTTTATCCTATAAAAAGATAAATTTAAGGTATAAAACTGTGTTGAATCTTATATTAAAAAAAATTTAAGATATTGAAAATATTTCCCATGTCATTATTATTGTTTTCTGTGTAAATTTTACTGGATATTTTTATTTTAAAAATTCAGATCAATTAATTTTCCACCAGTGGAATATAATACAATAGCTTAATTTTATTTTAAAACTTCTTATATTGAAATATTTTCTCCACAGCTTTACAAGAAATGAAATAGTGACATAACAAAATAATATCTGGTATGATAAATAACTTATAGATATATATTAATAAAAATCAAATAGAATATATAGTATATATACTGCACCGTAATAGTTCACTAATTGAGACTTATTGGGGGAAAAGCCTAGTGCAAATCTGTGAAAGTCCAAGTTAGCAAGATTTTACTCAAATGTATATTATACAATCTGAAAAGTAAACATTAAAGTCCAATTTTAAATGGAAGTGTACAAGTTGTCTATTGGCATTATCAAAAGAAAATTTAATTTCTAACAACAAAATATGAGCACTTTTGATGGTATATAACCATCATCCTCAAATACCGTGGCAGCAGGCCCGCCGTAAGCGGGCGTGCAAGGCGTGCACCGCATGCGGGCGGCACGTCCAGGGGGCGGCAAAGAGCCTTTCTGGCAAGCTCAGCATAGGTAATCGTAGTTAAACAGGGGGCGGCATAATCGGTATTGCACACGGGCGTTCAAACAGCTAGCGGCGCCCCTGCGTGGCAGTTTTCTCTTTCTCTTTTTAAAGTCCAATTTTTTTTTATGCACCTTAAATGAACATATACAGTGGACTTTTACAATGCAAAACAACTATTAACATTATTCTTGTCATTGTCATCATCCACTAACTTGAGCTTAAAAAAATTATAATTTTTGTTTTTAATTCCTTTTTTTTTTAACTGTTTTTAACTTTTTGATCACATCTTAATACCTCTGTCTAAGAGTTAACCCTGGCTTAGGTGGTCTGCAGATTAACTTTGTAGCATTGTAAGGTGTGAATCAGTTACAATGGGATCCAAGCTTTTTGCGTGGTTTAAGGGAATTCGCGGATTACTGGCCCATGGCTTAATGGCGCTACGCTGTAGTTTTACACCTAGAGTATTAAGGAAAATAAAAAGATTGAATAATTTCAGTTTTCATCCATGGTAAATTAGATGAGATTTGTATATTATTTGTACATAATCTGTAAATAATTATTATTTCCATTACACAGATTATCTAATCTTTAAAACGATTATATATATTTCTGTATCTTTTGTCATAATTTCGTCAACACTACTGAAGAATTTAAGTTGTTTTTCTTTTTTATTAAACAATTTAAACTTAATTAATCTCAAACTTAATTAAAAATTTATCAGTTCGTTTGACAAAGAAAGAAAACAACAAGAGGATTGGTTGACTAATTGATTTATTTAACAGAAATATCATCAGCCTCTACACTACAAGACTGGCTTCAGTTTTTATCCATTTTAAACATACCATTCATATAATAGAGTCAGCTAGCGCAGACAAGACATAGAGAATGATTCTTGAACTCAAATTACTCATGATAAATTATAAGGATCTTGATCAGAGGTGAAGTTGGATTTCCAAAGAAGCTGAATGAGAGTTTTATAAATGTAATGAAAAATGAGAGGCAAAAGTTGGCACTATGACTAGATCTATTGTGCATAAAATGATATTTCGCCATGCAGCCACTGGACTAACAAAAGGAATAAAATGATTATCCAATCATTCATATGCTTCTAGTTCATGCAGAATAAATCTCTTCTTACTATAATATAACATACTGCCAAAAAAATCAGTTTGTCTACTTATTATTATAATTAAATTTATTTTTATAGAAATATTTTCTTTTCTGATTAAATATACAATAAAATAACTTTGTTTACACATTAAACGTATTTAGTATTTTGACAAGATTTTAAACCATAAAAATCAGAAACTATAATGGTTTTATTAATTGAAATATTCCTCTATTAAAAATAATAAAATAATATATATAATTACTAAGAGATAAATATAATAACTTACAATTATTTTAAACGTATGTAAGAGATTTGGAGAATCCGCAACGCAACCATATTCTAAACTCGTAGGTTCATATTTTGGAATGTATCCGTCCACGCCGGTGCATATAAAACATTTCTCGATCGTCATAAAGAAGGAGTCGCCAAGATTCTGCACCGGATCCACCATTATTCTTCCATATATAATATCACCTAATTATATGATAATACTTTTAAAATTATGTATAAAATTTTTAATCTTTTTAAGGAAGCGTTTCAAATGTAAAATCCAATCAAAATTGCTTTTTATGGAGCAAAATATATGAACTTTTCAAAAATTCTTCAAAACAATTTTCAGATTAAATATTCATCCTCAAAACTTTAAAATTGAAAATAAAGTTTTTTGAAAATTTTCAATTGTAAAAAAGCAATTTACATTGGTAAAATACAATAATATAAAATTATTCAATTAATTACCAAGGCCAATATTACTTTATTTTTACATTAAAATTTTATTACTGTATGTTAAAGGTTTTGTTGATTGTACTTAGTAATTCGTTCCAGTTATTGAGAAGACAGTAATTTGCTGGCTCAATGGGTGATGTGACAAGGTGACTACATCAAGTGGCAAAGTGACCAGTCAAAAATGTTCTAAAGCAGAACACAGTGAAATCCTGTAAATGTACTTTAAACTTGTTTATAAACAGTTCATACAAGAATGCCAGCACTAGAAGTGCTCTCTTTGACAACTGTTCTGGAAACAGGATTCAAACCCTTAACTTTCAGTATAACAAGGCAAATATATTTAAAAAAATATTAAGCACATGCTCTAAACTAGACTTTTCCATAACTAATATATGTAAAACGTTCATTCTAAAACAAAAAAACATTTTCTTAATGTTTTTCAGCTCTTTAGCACCAATCATTAGGATTTCTAGTGTATCTCGATGCACATGTATCAAAAATATTAGATAAAATAAATTTTTTGTACCTGAAAGCAGTATAGATGGTGTTGTGTGTATGTAATACAAGAAACAGAATAACAAATATTCCCTAAATACATAAGGATTTATATCTCACATATCCAACCAAAGGGATGCCCTAGAGGGAAGGTAGATTGATAATGTTATGCAAATCTTAAGAGGAAAAGAATTTAATTTTACTCCAGACTAAAAACTTGTCTGTCAATAGGAGAGTTTGGAGAAGCGTGGTGGATGATAGTATAAAAGTTTAACTTTTTAACATGTTTACCTGCACACTCTCTGGGTATCAGCAGGAATGGATGATGATGATGATATACAAACAAGCAATGGTTGATACAGGAAGCTTAATCTTTCCTCATTTACAGAAAAAAAAATTAAAATTTATTTGTCTGAACTTCAAAACATTGTTTTTAAAACCATTTAAGATGGCAAATATGGTTTACCTGATCAAATGCAATATAACTATAATGCATTAATTATCCAATTAATGCATAACTATAATGCATTAATTATCCAAATACTGAGTTAGCTTCCTCTTTGGTTCTCCTGGATCCACACTATATACAAGTACTATTTCATCAAGGCAACTTTAGAGACAAATAATTCTAATTATTCTTTGTTTGTTCATTTTTTTTTCTCCTAAGATAAGCAACTGATAATTTACACAAACTATTCTAAGCCAACTGTATCGAAACAGATTCAGTGCATCGTTTAACCTATACAAAAAAATTGTACAGATTATGCATTTAGTTTTTTAATATTAATGTTGATACTTCTGAATTTTTTAAGAAAAAAATTACTACATTCCACA